GATGGGTCTGGGTGGGGTGCTCTGAGGGTCGGTTTAGGCTTGTTGGGCCAAAGGGCCTGTTTCCACACTATAGGGATTTTATGATCTATCGGTGCCTGGTAACCCAACTGAGATTAGTATCCAGTCTACTTGCCCCATACCACAAAGCATTCACAAATATATGAATCAGTAGGATTTTGATAAGTTTTGGCCACACTTCATTTCACTGGATCTGAAGGCACAGATTGCTCTGGTGTGTCCAATGTTGCTGCACATATTTCAATGGTGAGTGAGCACAATGAAGATAAAAGAGACAGGTAAAGTCACCAGGCCATGGGCTATTCTCCCATTCAAGAGGGCTGAATGCTGCTGGTTGAAGCCACAGGTCACCACACCTCGGACAGGTGTGAGAAGGAGAGCCCCTCATATTAACCTCAGCTGCTGTAGGAATTGAACCCACACTGCTGGTATTGCTCTGTATCACAAACTGGGCATCCAGCTAACCGAGCTAACCAACCCCTATATTAGAGTAATACAGCAGGTGCCTCTAGTTTCCATGCTGACCTTACCCCATAGCTAAGGTAAAGTGGTATGGAGCTGTTCCCATAAAGACACTTCCAAAGCATCCAATTGCCATTGGTGATTCAAGTATTTAAGAAAAGTATGTGTAATAGCATTGTGGCCGAGAGACCAATGGGAAATAAGAAGCCAAAAGTATGTGTTTGCTCTTTGTGACCAATTGGCACAATTTTGTGCCCACTGTTAGTTCTCAATGCTTCAGATTTCAGCTCCTGCTTCTCTACTCTGATATCTTGATCTCCGTCCCTCACTACAAATGATCATTTCTTTTATGTTTTCCCAAGACAGGTATCATAACGATCTCTCTTAGTGGGGAGTATCCTTTCCAGAAATAGGGTTAAGACCGTCTATGTGATTTATATAAATGATTTGGATGAGAATTTAGGAGGTATGGTTAGTAAGTTATGGATGACACCAATATTGGTGGGAGAGTGCACAGTGAACGTGGTTATCTATGATTACAAAGGGATCTTGATTAATTGGGCCAGTGGGCTAAGGAGTAAAATGGAGATATTGCATTTATACAGTTAATGATAAGGCCCTGGGTAATGTTGGCAAACAGAGAAACCTAGGGGGTTCAAGTACATAGTTCGTTCCAAGTTGTGTCACAAGTAGACAGGGTGGTTGTGAAGGCAGTCAGCATGCTTGCCTTCAATGCCCAGACCATTGAGTATAGGAGTCAGAAAGTCATATCTCCTCTGGCCTGCTCAACCCCTAGGTGTGATCATGACTGATCTTCAATCTTGCCTATTCTTTCCTACCCTCTCTTTATATCCCTTCATATCCTTAAGGCCCAAAAATATGTTGACAACAGTTTTGAATTGACTCAACAGTGGAGTATGCGGAGATCTCAAGTTGAGGGAAGGGATGTCAAAGGTTCTCAACCCTCCAAGTGAAGAAATGTCTCGTTATTTCAATCTTCAATCTGTTTACTCTGAAAATGGTGACGCCCCCTAGTTCTAGACTCAGCAGATAATGGAGGCATCCAGAGAATAGAGGCCCATTCTACTCACTATTCTATATTAGCATCAAGATCAACCCACTTTTACATTCAACACAGGGTTTGATTAGTTTGGGTAGCTGGTTTGCAATGCAGAGTGATGCCAGCAGCATGGGTTCAATTTCCACACTGGCCAAGGTTTCTATGAAGGACTCTCCTTCTCAATCAGTTCCCTCACCTGAGGTATGGTGACCCTCAGGTTAAGCCACTACCCGGCCATCTGTCTCGAATGAGAGAGCAGCCCTATGGTCTATTAAGACAATGGTGACTTTACCTTTTATCTTATGATCAATTAATTTCACTTTAGTAGAGGTTTCTCTTTTGTTGATTTCTTGAGGCTTTTTTGACAAAAATGCAAAATGTCTTTACCAGCCAATAGCCATCAGGTGTGTTGTGAAATGGCTTTCCTATTTAAGGTCGACAAAAAGCAACTTTATTTCTCTCCCCCTGAAGACGACACGGGCCTGGCTAAACTATGAGGCCAGACAAGCATGAGCAGTCGACATGTCAATTGTAATTGATCTCCCTTGTTATCCCCATCAGTCCATCAGCAGATATATAGCCTCCTATACACACTGGCTGAGATCAGGCATGTTTTATATTGTTCACATTTTTTTCTGGGAGAAGTTCCGAATGGAATCAGATTTCTTTCTTTTTATTTATTTCTCACCTCCTCCTCGGGACCCCTCCCTCCACCCAGTACAGATTTCATTGATTTCGTTTGAGTGAGCTCTTAACGCTTGTGGGCACTTGACTAAGTAACAAAGTAGCTGTTCACTGTGGGTGAAATCTTTCCCTCCTGCAATGTGAGGCTGAAAGTGGTAAAGAGGCCAGATCATCAGGCACTGGGGAGATACTAACTCCCTTCCCATCACCTGAGAAATTAAGCTCTGGGAATGGTTGACTTTCCTGTTCTGCCACCAACTAAGACTCTTAAATTCTACATTCCCTCAACTTTTTGCTTCTGGGGTGGTACGGTGGCTCAGTGGTTCGCACTGCTGTCTCACAGCACCAGGGACCCGCAATTAACTGTGTGAATTTTGCAACGTCTGCTTGGGTTTCCTCTGGGCGCTCTGCAGAATATATTTTATTGCCAGATTGTCATGGCATCATCCCTGGACCCCAGGTGGATGGTTACTGCCGGGAAAAGTGGCTGTTGTTTGGGGGAAGACATCCTGGGAGTGGAGGTCATGAGGTGCTGAGGGGGCAGAAGTGAGGACAGGCGATAGCTCTCAGTGGGCATTTGCTACCTTTGGTCTAGCCACTTTGTACAGTTTGAGGGGCTCAGGACAGTGTGTGGACCCAATGAACTCTGCTTCCAGAGGTCACTGCTGTGTGTGGAATCTCAGATGTCTACACAGCAGAATGATAAAATCCCTACAGTGTGGAATCAGGTCATTCAGCCCATTGAGTCCACACCGACCCTCGGAAGAGCACCCTATCCAGACCTACCCTATCCCTGTAACCCTGCATTTTCCATGGCTAACCCACCTCACCTGGACACTATGGGCAATTTAGCATGGCCAATCCACCCTAACCTGCACATCTTTGGACTGCAGGAGGAAACTGGAGGAGACCAACGCACACATGGGGGGAATGTGCAAACTCCACACAGACAGTGGCTGAGGGTAGAGTTGAACCTGGGCCCCTGGTGCTGTGAGGCATCAGTGCCTACCAGTGAGCCACCATGCTGTCCCCTTTTGTGTTAGTCTTCACAGTGGAATACGCCAATAATATTCCAAAATTACTAAATAATCAAAGGGTAATAGGAGGAGAGGAAATAAATCCAACTATCATGAGAAAAAAAAATTATTCGGGAAGCGTAATGGGGTTAAAAATGGATACGTCCCCTGTTCCTGAAGGGATGCATCTCGGAACATTGAAGGAAGTAACTACAGAGATAACGGATGCATTGATAGTGATCTTCCAAGAATCTTTAGATTCTGAAAAAAGTATCAGAGGACTGGAAAACTGCTAATGTAATACCTTTAGTCAAAAAGGGTAGGAGACAAAAAAGTAGGCAGCTCTAGGCCAGTTAGGTTAGTATCTGTTATTATAATTAAAATTACAAAAACGACAAAGGAGTTCACAAATTTATGAGAACTCTTGAAGAAGGTAACAAACAATTTAGATAAAGGGGAAGCAGGAGATGTAATACGTTTGGATTTTTCAAAAGGCTTTTGATAAGATAACTCATGTTAGGCTACTTAATAAGATAAGACACAGTGGTGCTGGAGGTAGTGTATTACCATGGATAGAGGATTGGCTAACTAATAGAAGACAGAAAATTGGGATGGAGGGTGATTTTTGACATGGGTAGCTGTAATTAATGCAGTTCGCAGGGATCAGTGCTGTGGCCACAATTATTTACAATGTTTATTTATGAATTGGATGAGGGAAGTGAATATACTATAGCCAAATTTGTGAATGACACAAAAAATAAGTGCGAAGGCAAGTGATGACACAAATATTGCCCAGGACAATACAGACAGATTAAGCAAATGGGCAAAAACATGACAGATGGAATATAATGTGGGAAAATGTGAGGTCACGCACCTTGGTACAAAGAATACAGGAGCTGAATATTAGTTAAATGCAGAAAGGCTGCAGAAATCCTAGCACAGAGAGATTTGGGAGTACTCATGCGAAAATCTCAAAAAACTAGCTTATATGTTTAGTAGAAAATAAGAAAGGCAAATAGACTGTTGATCTTTATTTCAAAGTTAAACAGTGTACAAAAGTCAGGAAGTTTTGCTGAACTATACAAGGCACCGGTCAGACCATAACTCAAAGACAGTGAACAGTTTGGGCCCATTATCTAAGGAAAGATACACTAGCATTGGAGGCAGTTCAGAGAAGGTTCACTGGGCTGATACCAAGTATGTAGGAACTGCCTTATGAGGAGACGTTGAGCAGGTTGGGCCTGTACCCATTGGAGTTTAGGAGAATGAGAGGTAATAATATTTAAAAGCACAAGCTTCTTAGAGGGCTTGACAGTTTAGGTAAACATAGGTCATGTTTTCTTGTGGGTGTACCTAGGACAAGATAGCATAATCTCAGGCTCCCAATTTAAGACAGTGACAAGAAGAATTCTTTTCTGTTAGAAGGTTATGAGTCTGTGGAATTCTTTATTACAGAGGGCTGTAGCGGCTGGGTCATTCAATATATTAAAGGCTGAGATAGACAGATTTTTAATCATTAAGCCAGTCAGGGGTTATGAAAAAAAGGCAGGAAGGTGGAGTTGAGGATTATCAGATCAGCCATGATCTCATTGAATGGCAGAGCAGACTTGATGGACCGAATGGTCTAATTCTGCACTAATGGTTTTATTCCATATAATACACTTAGCTACCAAACCAATGGAGGAAGCTAGCTTTCAGGCATTTGCAAAGATGTCAAAGAGGAGATACCAAGGGTAAGGGGCTGGGATAGAAAGAGCTACCTGTCTCATGAGCTCCTGTTGCAGATGTTTAATCCTCTCCTTTTCCATCTGGATCTGTTGGAGACGCATCTTCTGTTGATGCTTCTGCTGCACCGTCATGGCACTGGATAGATTCATCATGGCCATCCGCGGATTCTGCGAGGGCACAACGGGAGGGGGTACAGTGGTGTTTGGCGTCATCTGCTGCTGGTTCATCACTGGGGAGAAAGGAGGAAAGCACATTAAGCCCTGCAGAGCGTGAAGTGACCATCCCACTGCCGTGTAACTTTTGCCTGCAATGCGGACCAATCACGTGTGTGTGCAAACCATGTGATACCCAGGAAATGAGGTCGGATTGAGTGCAGGCCTATTTAAAACGATGGGCCCTGCATTGTTCCACACAGTGAGTACTTCAATGCTGCAGGAGATTCCCTGCTACAGACAGGAGCTGGCTTTGGATAGCAGCTACCTGGGCACCTTCAGAAACGGTTCATAGAATGATATAGAAATTACAGCACACATACAGACCATTCAGCCAAGCCAGGCTGTTCCAATGTTCATGCTTCCCCCTCACACCTCATGATCCAATGCCATCACCATTTCCTGTTAATAATCCTTTCACCTAGAATGTTTGTTTATCTAGTTTCCCCTGAAGATATGTTTTCCTTTCTTATGAGTGCCGCTGGGGGCCAGCATTTTGTTGCCCACCCCTAACCGAGTGGCTAGTTTGGACGGCGGGTTTGATAAGATCGCAGCCCACGGTGAGTTGAGCTGTTAACAAGGCGTTCAACAAGCAACGAGGACCATCAGTTGGGACCTTGACACTGCCGAGCGAGAATCTCACCACACCATCTGAGAAAAGTGAATGAGATTGTGCGAGGAGATCTCAATGTTGAGTTAGGCCTTGCTGAACATCTCCCATCCCCCTCAATTCTACCACTCATCTCGCTATAGCCCACCCCCACTCTTGAGCCTGGGAAGATACACCCTCGCTCCTTTATTAAATAATCCTGATTTATTGACTAAATTCCACAAGCTCGCATTTGAAGTCATGCCCTCAGAGAATCAGTCCTGGGGTCTATTATTAACCCAGCAACATGACCATTATGCCACTGCCTCCTCTGGGCATCTACTTTATTCATTCATGGGATAAGGGCATCGCTGGCTAGGCCAGCATTTACTGCCCATCCCTAACTGCCCAGAGGGTGGTTAAGAATCAACCACATTGCTGTGGGTCTGGAGTCACATGTAGGCCAGACCAGGTAAGGATGGCAGTTTCCTTCCCTAAAGGACATTAGTGAACCAGATGGGTTTTTCCAACAATCGACAGTGGATTCGTGGTCATCATTAGATTCTTAATTCCAGATATTTATTGAATTCAAATTCCACCATCTGCCATGGCGGGATTTGAATCAAGGTCCCCAGAACATTATCTGGGTCTCTGGATCAACGGTCTAGCAATAATACCACTGGGCCATCACCTCCACTATTGCTTCAATCATGCTTCAAACAGGTGATAGCTAGTTCTCAGCATGTCTTCTATCAAACACTTATCATAATCTTAAAGACCTTTATCAGTTCATCAACTATTCATATCTTTTCGAAAGTGAAAAAACCCAGCCTGTTCAATTTTTCCTGATACTCATAACTGGTAAATTCCGGCTCTATCCTTGTAAACATGCAAGAAGTTAGTTTGAAATGCAGTGACCCTTGTTAGACAAGCAAACAAAGTTTGCATGTGTTACAAGGTCACCTCAACAGAGGTGATGTAAGTGGCCCACCATTCAGAAGTAAGAGTGAAACATATTTGAAGCTAATGACCTTTTAATTGTGTGACAAGGTACAGAACAGTAATTCGAGAATAACTGCCAAGAGTCCACTAGTGCGCTTTTTAATCAGTCTGCAAGAGGGACCATGCATACCAACAGTCTACACTTCCCAGCAAACCAAATCAGAAAGTCACATTGTTGACTTGGGTCAGTTTGCAAGAACTTTTGGAACACAGGAATTCCTAGACGAGAAAAGGCCAACAATTTGTCTTCTATCACCCTATTGAAGACTTTTCCACTTGTTCTTTCCTCCCATTCCATTTTCTCTGCCTCTCCACCTGCTTAAAACCTGGTACCTCCCTAACTTTTCCCAGTTTCTGCTGAAAAGTCATTGGCCTGACACATAACATGTCTCCCCACAGGTATACTCAGTATGGACAGCATTATCTGTGATTTCTTTCCGAAATCCCTACTTCAGAAAGTTGTAAATTATCAACAAATAAAAAAAAGGGGCTTTGGAAAAGTCTCTGCTTGTAGATTTTATGATATTCAACTTTAGAGAACTTGACAACAAGCCTAGAGCTTACAGTAGACAGACCACAGATTGTAAACCTGCTGTCTAGCAAAAGTACAGCCTGATGCTATGTGAGTAAGTTAGGGCACGATATTCTGAAATGTTATAGCCTTCATCGGAGTGCTGCCAAACGTGATTTTATATACATATTTTCAGTTTACGATGAACTTCTACTTAGTTTTCACAAATCGCCAGACTTATTCCACGATTGCAGGATGGTCTGTCCTAACTTGCTATAGTTTGCAGCAACAATCTAACTTGCTTGGACAGGTATAGGTAATCCATTAACAACAACAGAAGGCTTAGGGTCATGCTTGAACCATAATTAAGCAATTGCTCACTCTGCCTGAGGTCTCTCCAAAGAATCCCAAACTCTTTCAGGTTCACGCTGACCTCACTACACAAAGACTATCCTCGGAGAATTGTCCGACCTGAGATGTCACCTCTTGCATTCATTGATAAAACCTTTAGTAATCTCGGGACATTGACTTGAAAGAAATTCGGAGATTTGCATATTAATCAATCGAAACCTGCATCTCCTTTCTAACTGATTAAGGATTTAACAGGAGGGAGTCAGCCAGTCATTTTAGGGTTATTAACTACATTCGTATCAGTTGTATCATCCTTGATTTTTTACTTATAAATTCTGTGCCTTGATACTTCCTCTCTCATTACTCCTGAGGAAGGGGCAACGCTCCGAAAGCTTGTGTGTTCAATAAACCTGTTGGAGTATAACCTGATGTCGTGTAATTTTTGACCTTATCCTCAAAGAGGGAAGCTGGCAAGAGAGTCTCAGTGGGCTTGCTGCAGAGGGACTGAATTTTCTCTGTAAGGGAAACCTGGCTAAAAATTATACAAAACAACACAGTGCAGCACTCCTTCCCATCACAGCCGCAGTGCCTCCTGTTCCTTTCGTGTCAGTGAACTGTAACCTGAGCAGGCAGGGCCTGTTTAAACAACAGGGTCCTTTCACAGGCATCAGGGAGTCAGGGAGGGAGCCACCTGAGAGATTCACCTCCCAGTTTGCTTCTTGGTGCAAAATGCCATATTTAACTGTTTCCTTTAACTCAAAAGACCCTGTTCTTCTTTAACTAAGTGCAATACGATCTTTTTGTGACTGTACAGCCTCCCACTTAACACCTCATTGAGTTGTGGAGTTCTCTAGCACAGAACAAACGGCCCTTCAGCCCACTGAAATGGCACTGGTCAAAAACAATCACCTAACTACTCTAATCTCATCTTTTTGGCCCATAGCTTTGTATGCCTTGGTATCATGAGTGTACCTCAAAATATTTCTTCAATCAGGGTTTCTGCCTGTACCATTCTCACAGGCAGAGAGTTCCAGGTTTCCCACCACCCTCTTGGGGAGAAAAAAATTCCTCAAATCTCCTCTAAAACTTCTGTCCCTTACCTTAAATCTATGTCCCCAGTCATCGATTCCTCCATCAAAGAGAAAAGTTCCTTCCCATCTACTCTGCCAAATGTGTCTCAGTTGGTGGCCCTCTTGTCACAGTATCTGAAGAGTTTAAGCCCCATGCCAGATATGTCTTCAATGCAGTATATGGGCTGCCTTTAGGATGAGGTTGGAGAGTTTCAGTTACAAGAGAGATTGGACAGACTGGAGTTGTTTTCCTTAGAACAGAACAGATTGAGATGGGACATGATTGAGATGGACAAGAAAGGAGGTCAGAATCCAGTCAAGTTTCCTACTGGGACACCCAATCAACTCCATTAACATTGTGGCTCATTCTCCTGCTTATGGGCAACTGGCAATCAAAGACACTGTGGGGATTTTGAAAAGTCCAGGTGCACTGCTGATTGAAAATCTTCCTTTTGCAGTGCACTGTTTGATGGAGACCTGACAAAGGAGCAGCGCTCCGAAACCTAACTTAAATAAACTTGTTGGACTATAACCTGGTGTCATGTGACTTCTGACTTAGCTCACATGAATCACAGGGTTAGTGTCTCATTAGAGTCCTCTGGGATTGTCCTGGGGTCTCCAGGAGTTAAGGATTAATTATCAAAGCAGCTCTTCCAAAGAGCCAGCACAGTCACAATAGGCCAAATGGCCTCCCTTCTGTACTGCAGTACTGTGATCTTACCATTTTTAAATGCTGTCCGTGGGATTGGACGAGCCCTAGTGTACAATGAACACTGCATTAACCTTACAGATAGTGCTATGCTTCTGTGAAGGGGGTGCTCTGGAACTATTTAACAGGCTTGTTTTAAAGTTGATTTCTTTTTAACCACAGACTAACATGATTTCAGCTCGACAGGGGCAAGGATGGTTGGGGGGCAGTGTGCGTGGGGAGGGTGGGAGCATGCGTGGGTTTGATCATCTGGATTTTACAAATGTCATGCAGAATACACAGAGCAAGCCATTGTGTGAAGTCACACCCACACTGTGTTTAGACATTACCCCTGCTTGGGGCTTTCTATTAGGACAGAGAAGGGAATCTGAAATGCTTTCAGATGACAGGGGTGCGGGGTGGAAAAGGGACAATTATCATTTTTAAATGCTCTCTGTGGGATTGGATGAGCCCTGGCGTACAATGAACACTGCATTAACCTGGCAAACTCTGGCTGACTGGCCCATGCTATCCTACTCTCCAACCTCCTCAGGCACTTCAAAATATCAAGTCACAACTTGAGACCAACGGAGACTTTGTACAAATGTTTGTGCAGAATGTCTGAAACAGTTATTCACTCGCTCCTCCCCAGCTTTTAATGTTTAAAACAAAAAGGCAGTATCTGTCAGCTGAGATATTGCATGGTGTTTCAGACAATGAAGGAGTTAACAGGGTAGGTACAGAGATACCATTTCCGCTAACGGGGAAATATCGAACAATGAGGCACAGCCTTAATGTTAAAGGTA